CAGCCCCGCCTCTGTCTACCCTAATTACAGGCCACTGGCTACCAAATTATTCACGGAGCTGTAATCGCAGGTGGCTAAATACCGCCTCAGCTGCTGTAGGGACAGTCAGAGGGAGGGCTGTGACGCTCGTGGGAGGTATTTAGATGCGGAGGGCCCGTGGAAGGTATTAAGTGATTATAGGGCAGTGTCTTTGTTATTAACACGTTCGGCCTGTGCAGGAGCGTACCGCGGTGCGTCTCTGCTCGGGTGACTCGTATCCCGCTTCCCAGCGGCTGGCGCCCGCTCAGGCCCACCGAAGGCAGGGAGGGTTTTGCTGCTGATAAGGCTGGACCGGAAAGTTCGCGTGTGCCTGTGAGGATGAGACCTGCCGTACTCTGCCTCTCCGCGAGCAACTCGGCGCTCGCGGAAAGGATAACGCGCTGTTTGCGTTTCCTTAGTGTCTTTATTCAAAAGTTTTCAGTGCGCTTTACGAGCAGTGTGCCTGATTGCGTGTGTTGGTAAGAAGTCTGCTAAGGTCACTTATTTGATCGCCGCTTAATAGACGCGTAGAGGCTTTTCCACGGCGTGCAGAAATAGTACGTGTCGAGTTTGGGGCAGAAAGGGAAGTGTCAGTAAAGAGAATTGTATTAAATTGAAAATGCAGGGAATTTGTTAGCAGGATATAATCAGCTGATGCAGGTTTTGCCCAGTACATAAGGACAAGGTTTTCATACAGGTGATGTTGGGTTATTAATGAAAAATAACATCTTCAGCACATGTCGATACCTGAGTGCAAGGGTGATGTGACAGTTCCAGCACTACAATATTTGGAGACGTCTTTTCCTATTAGTCTTTAAAGACAATCTAAATCTCTTAGACTGCAAAGATCCCTTGAGGTTACAACTTTGTTGATGCTATTCTGTGGCAGTTACAGCTAAAGCGAAGCGTAACATAGTATGATGCTATTTTGCAGGCTCAGTTTCTTTGATCCTTATCTACTTGTGACATCTTGTGGAAACAGTTGACATTGCCATGACAGTGAATTCTGCTGGTATCTTTCATGATTTCAGTATATGAAGTTACCCATGAAACTACCAAAATTTCTGATGGTGTTGAGCCATCTGGATATGGGTTTAGGAGCCATGTAGATCCTATAGGAGCTAGGCACCTGTCAGTGGTCCTTTTACTCAGTGGTGGACAATGTAGCGTAAAGTGGTCTGGGCAAATCGGGACGTGCTCGTTTTTGTCTGGCTCCTGTCCCACTCTCAGGCTTTTCCCTTCACCCACCCACTGCTCCCAGAGTCAGGGCCCATGGGACAGCTCTGTCGTCATTCAGCACGGTGCTGGGAAGAGGAGGGCGTTCGACTGACAGAGGACGGGAGTGGGAGCACAGCAAACTTCTGGCATCTCTCCCTTCCCACTGCTAATGCAGATTTGGTTCGCAGGAGGCAGAAGCACAATGCATGACACAAAGTGGATGTGTACACGCTCTGAGGATACCATTATACTGCAACGTTACTGGCACTTAATAATTATTTTTTTAGTACGTTTTGAAATGGCAGCATTACTGTGGTACCAGTAACTGACTGAACCTGTTCCTAATTTAAAAAAAAAAAAAAAAACCACCCACAGATCTGTAGAGTTCAAACTAGAGTTAGTTCTTTTGAATCAGGACTGAACTGGCACTGTTACTAGGAATTATTCTTTAAACCTGACTTGGAACCCAGCTGAAATAAGTATCTTTTGTGATGAATTCGAACAAGTTTCACTGAAAACTAATATGCCCCAGTGGAAATCTCTTCAGCATAGAGACTATTTGTACCAATTACAAACTGCAGAGCACTGTCACATCAGTCTCTCCTTTTCTACTCCTGCTTGGGTCACTAGTCCTCCTTTTTGCTGTGCTTTGCGGCCTTGAATAAGAACCTGCTCAGTGGAGGTACTTTGGCACCTCAGGTGAGGTATAACTACGCTGTGTCTGGAAACACAATGGAGTGACCAGAGCTACAATTCTTGTCCCATAGTAAGGAATTGTTCCTTGTCACTGCCACCTGCCTACCTGAGCTTCCCTGCAGCGATCTCACTTGTTTCACTCTAAATATGTATCTCTGGGTTGTGTATGGACGTATTTCCCAGGAAAAGAGAAGAGATTAGACACGTTGTGCTCATCCCTCTCTCTCATTTCCTTCCTGCACAGTGCAATGCCACAGTTTCTGTCGAGCTTCTCAACCTCGGTTTCCTTTTTAGGGAACTGGAGAGATGCTGCAGCACTGTGTTAACAGTATAGGTATTGTGCAAGCTTTGGCAGAAAAGGAGGCTGGGGTAATTTTCCTTGCTGCGGTCTCACCCTGTAGCATGGCTATTTTAATTCATTATCTGTGACGCAGTGCATATAAATCCCAGGTTACTGGTGTGAACTATTAGTGTTCTGAACCAGAACAAAACTGTAACAAATTCATGGGCTGAATCTGAAACAGAACCTAACTGAAGAAAAATTACTGATTTGACTCCCTAATTTACCAATTTGACTTCTCCTGTCCTATACTGAGTGGAAGTAGAGCTATTGTGGTAGTAAAGCTTCCTCTCAGTGAATAGTTGGCCTGCTCAAACAGGGACAGAACTCATTCATATGTACTAGTGAGCTGCCTGAAACTAGAAAAGAGTGCTGTATCTTTGAAAAATGCTTTCCTGTATCATTCCTTTATTGTATGGTATTAAAAGAAAAATCACGATAAACATGATGTATCACAATTCCCCATGGAAGGGAATCTGGAGAAGGTGTCTGCAGAATTTCCAAACGTCACTGAGATAAGTTAGAGTGTTATCGGATAAAGAGCAAATATATTATAGAAAGAGCATGAAGCAATTCTAGCTGCACTGAAGCTCTTCCAGTTATTCCAGAGAGACTGTGATGAAGACTGCACATTCACATTGCTTGGCAAAGCCAAAGAAGTTCACGAATACATTTTCTTTACACAAAAGTGGAGCATAGCTAAAAAAATTGACCATTATGTTGCAAAGTGGCATTTTAAAACCAGCCCATGCACATTTAAGAGCATTGAGAGTAATTAGAGAGTAAATTATTTGTGATCTGTAATCAGAAAAAAGACTATTGACATTGACCATTATGTTGTGAAGAACAGTAGGAAAGTGCTGGACCAGTGAAAAAATGTGTGTGAGTCAGCGAACAAGGGAGGAAGCAGAAGTCAATCTGGCAAAGCATAAACGCAGTATCTGGATAAGCAATTGGCACATGCTACAGTAAATGTAAAGATATATTAAAATAAAAAGCTGTTTATCATGAAATGCATACCATCACAAAAGACATTAACTATGCTGCAGTAGTGTTCTTGGCATCTGAAGCACAGCGATACGGAAGTAGCATTCACAAATAATGAGAACAGTTTATAACGAAGTTTATGATGAAGCAGAAGCGTTGTCTTGCACGAGGAAAAAAAAAAGTGATTCTGAAGGCATTTGATGACGTGTTATTGAGTGGGGATGTATAAGGCTGTATCATACTTGGAGATAAATCTGAGCCGTTGGTAAAGTAGATGTTAATGCACAAAGGCAAATAGAAAATGATTGAATTGACAGTGGTCACTAATATGCCTAACCATTTTGAAGTTTCAGGTAAGACTCTCAGTGTAGGAGTTCCTCCGTTAGAAAAGCTGAAAGGATGAAGATTTTCAGCTTCAGAAATGTTTGAATGGGAGCCAGGTTTTCAGGCAAAAAATGCCAAGTCTGATCTTCCATTTCCGATTTTGATAGATGCCCATTTAGGTAACTTCTCTTCAGACTCGCTCCACCACCTGGGATTATGCAGGACATTATATACCCACAACCTGGAGGGTATCAGGAGGCTGAGTAGCTTAACAGCAGTGTCAAAGCTCTAGATCACTGTGTTTACACAGCCTCAATCTAAATAATTTCCTAGAGATGCTAAAATATTAGATGCTCCAATTTACATTAATCGTAACTCTGCCTTTCTGCAAGCCATTTATCACCATCACCTTTTTGTCTTGCAAGAAAAAAGTGTGAAACAACAACAGACTGCTGAGATGAACTACGTCAAAAGCGTGTCTGAACCCCTCTCCAACCAAGGGTACAGAGTAGATTCATGAGTAGCGATCAGCATTGGCTCTGTTCAGCTGAGCCCAAACCTTTAAGGTGCTTTGGTATCGCTGATACCACAACAAAGTACAAAGTGAAGTACCTGCATCGTTATTGTAGAAATAAATGTAGCAATCATGTTCCTGTGAGAAATGCTCCCAGTCACGTTCCTGGCAAAAGTATGTGAACAAAAAATGATTACTTTGTTTATTTAAAACTGTCACCCTCTACCCTCTCCATCCTAAATTTGGCTAAGCTTGACTATGGCTATCTTCCCTCCCGAAAGGGGTGTGCAGCTTCCTACCTTTGTATTCTTTCTGAAACAGAATGGCTCCATTTGTAGTTTCATCTGTATTATCCCTGAATTACTGTTAAATCAATTCACACCAGTTAAAGGAATACCATCTAAAAGCAATTGCTTGTCCATAATCTTCAAATAAGTGTTAATGCTATTGAAGTTACCGTTTCAATCTACAGTCCTTATCAGGCTGAATTTTTCAGTCACAATTGGTTCCCACAGTGAGCTATTTTGTAGAATATAGCTAAAACTATTAAACTATATGCTAGCTGCGAAGACGAGAGATTTCTGTCTTAAACTCCCATTGTGACAGAACCTAATGCTGTGACACATTGTCCTACAGTGGCCAGTTTTTCAGTGCCGTAGGGGGAAAATGAGTAGCATGCTGGAAGAGAATGTGACATCCGGGGAAACGTGTCTGCTCTCCTGGATTACTGTGGAATACAAAAATAAACAGCTTCGTAAAGTGAGGTTGGGAGAGGTTTTGGGTGTTTTGTAAGCAGGGATGTATTTTTTTTAAGAGTAAAACTGTTACAGAAAAGTCTGGTAGCTGAGTGTTGATTTCCAGTTCTCTCCATAGTTGTCAAGAGGCCAGTAATGTGCAAAGAAGTGTTTGCATTACGTCCCTTGTGTCTTCACATGCATCTGTGAAGCTAATAAATGCGGTGCTTTCTAAGGAGAGACACCTAACTGTCGGCTGAGAAATCCCCAGCTCCTTTTTTTTCACAGAGGCTTTTGACTTGTCACTGGGAAATACATGTGTTCAGGTTATTCAAGTAATTATCATCCTAAATGGTTTAAGAGCATTCATTTGTCTGCATTTATATATAACGTTTGTGTGTTGGAAGTAGGTTTGTGCTCCTATGACCCTTCCCAAATCCTTTAATCTTTCTCCAGCAATATACTTGTGACAAGGTCTCCTGAATAGTGAGCTGTAAGGAGGCCATATTAACAATAATTAACTTAAATGACATTTTCTGTCCAAAGCTAGTAGTTAACTGTATTTTCTATTATCCCGAAAGTGTTTGTATAATAACTAGTTCTAAAAATTGTTTTAGAAAAGTTAAACTTGGGAGGTAATTCAACTCATTTTCATCCCTCTCTTTGGGGGAAGGGCAATGTTTGCACCACGTGCATGAACCGTCTGCTGAGAAATGAAACGGCGACGTTCTTTTTCATCTGACAATGTTTCATCAGACTCTCTCATGGATAGAGGGTTTATCATTTAATATCGCTTTAAAGCGAAATCGATCCGTCGACTTCCCGGATTACAGCAGATTCCTCAGCGCGTGGTGGGAAGTAAAATGGGAGGAGGTGCGAGTCCCGAGAAGCGTGGCAGCAACCAAGGGGTTTCCGTTTGGAAAACAAGCTGGGAGGATGCCATCTGGGTGGCCGGCGGCAGGTATGTCCTGCCGACCCTTGGCTGAGAGAAAAACGAGGGATACGCCGAGAATCAGTCTTCACGCGGCTAGCTGTTGGAACGAGGTGTGACGCCACATCGTTTCTCCTCACCAAGCCTTGGAGCCGGTTTCTTCTCTTTGTGTTTTAGTAGAATATATGTAGACTGGTTTTTGCTTGAATACTGCCCGATTTCAACAGTGATTTTTAGAGGTATTTGGCAAATACCGAGGTATGAGACATATCGTTCTCCAGGAACGGCTGTAACTAGGATCTCCTACGTGGTTAAGAGTACCTTAATCCTCACATAAGGCTCACGCTTCCCAGGCTCTGAGGCTTTTTGGCCCTTAAGCTGGAAGATGCTGAAGGAGGCCGTTGCCACGAGTAAGCGCTGGAGTAGTTTTCAATTACGCGATAAGGCAGCTGGGCCTCACCTGCCGCTTCAGGTGAAATCACCTCTGTTTCAGTCAAAGCCTGATTTACAAACCGACGGGCAGGCCAGGCCTGGCAGCGCACGAAGAAAACGCCGTTTCCCGGAGCTGTCGACCAGCCCTTTCCGCCAGCGCTTCGCCGCTCCTCAAGCCGCGCAGCGCGGCGCCACCCGCCAACGGCTCCGCCGCCGCCTCCTCACGCCGCCCCCCCCG